CGTCTGAAACTCTTCTCAAGTTTCAGAACCAGATATCCACGATATATCATCACATTCCAAAAAGCTCACATCCAATCTGCTCCTTTCGGTTTTAGAAGCGACCACAAAAGCCTAAGGAGAAATGAAGATATGGCCAATCAGAAACCAAGACAGTCCAAAACCACTAAAAGTGAGAATTAGAAAAAAGAATCGAACAAAAAAATGTATACCGTCCCATGGATGTGACAACTAAAAACCCTAGAAACCATATGTAACAATTGAAATTAGAACCTACGTTTTCTATACCTTGTAAATGCCAGAATCGAGGCCCTTTCCGAGTGGTTTCTCTTCCATCACGTCTTCTTCTCCGGAAAATCGAGAAGCTGGATATGAAGCCTTCGGTTCAATTGTCGAATAATAGAGAATTTGAATGTTATTGGTAGGGCCGGCCCTACGAGTTATGGGGCCACAAACAATTACGGTTTGGGGGTCTCATAATCTATATATAAATTTTTTTTTACTGTTTGGGGGCCTCAAAATCTATACATATTACTCGTTAAAAATTTGGGGGCCCAACACGAATGTTTCACCCGGCTGTGCTCAGTTACGGCCCTGATTATTGGTAAAGATAAAGCCAATTGATCAATCGCAAATTCAAATTCAAAGTACTTGGACTAACGTTCGTTACAAACACGAGCCAAATTCCAAAGAGATAAAGATCTTACAAAGAGAAAAGATCTCGATCAACAATGGTGAGTCTCCAGAGAATTACAGAGGAAACGATTACAGAGAATTTGAGAAAAATGTATTCGGTATCGTCTTCTGAATCCACCTTCGTTGTTTTGTTCCCAGCAATTGTCAATGGTCAACATTTTAATTTGAATCCACCAATCATATCTCTCCATGTCATTTCTCCTCAATCCACCAATCAGCTTCATTTAAACCTCCACGTCACTCCTTCTACGATTCTTCTTCTTTTCTATAACAAATCTCCCTCCTTCAGAGAACCTTGTCCTCAAGGTTCAAAAGCTGGGAACTTCCTCTGTATCTCAAACAAGTACTCCCAAGTCGCTTCCTCGACACTCTGATTAGTCCACTTAACAAGCACCATCGTAACTGCGCGCCCCTGTCTATTGACCATCTTCCTCTCCAAGATCCTCTCGGGTTCCTTGACCAACGCATCATAATGCACCCATGGTAATTCAGTAGAAACCGAGACAGGGCCGACAGATTCCTTCAATTGAGACACATGGAAAACAGGATGGATCTTAGAAGAAGATGGTAAGTCCAACCTGTAAGCCACTGACCCACACTTATCCAGAATCTTGTAAGGACCATAAAACTTGGGAGCAAGCTTCTGGTTAGATCGCATCACCACAGATTGTTGCCTATAAGGCTGCAACTTGACAAACACCACATCTCCAATCTCAAAACTTCTCTCCGTACGATGAAGATTGGCATTCTGAGTCATCCTGTGCTGAGCTCTCAATAAGTGGAACCTGAGAAGTAGAAGCATATTCTCCCTATCCTGCAAGCATTGAGCCACCACAGCCACTTTCGATTCACCAGGCAAGTAAGGTAAATGAACTGGCGGAGGCTGACCATACACTGCCTCATAAGGCGACATCTGAATAGCTGTATGGTAATTAGTATTGTACCAAATCTCCGCAAGAGGTAACCATTTGCTCCATAAATGTGGACGATCACTACACATGCATCTCAAATAGGTCTCCAAACACCTATTGACCACCTCTGTCTGGCCATCAGATTGAGGATGATAAGCACTAGTGTAGTTTAAAGAAACGCCCTGCAGAGAAAACAACTCCTGCCAGAATTCACTAAGGAAAACTGTATCCCTGTCACTCACAATGGTCCTGGGGAAACCATGTAGCTTAAACACCTGATCCATGAAGACTTGAGCCACACTTACAGCTGAATAAGGATGAGTGAGAGCCATAAAATGAGCAGCTTTGCTCAAGCGATCCACCACAACAAAGATAACTGTTTTACCAAAGGAAGGAGGTAATCCATCGATAAAATCCATGGAAAGATCAGTCCACAGTGTTGCTGGAATAGGTAGAGGCTGTAACAATCCAGGAGAAGCTACAGTCTCATACTTACACCTTTGACAAACTCCACAACTCCTGATATAAGTATGAACATCTTTAGTCAACCCTTTCCAGTAGAACAAACCCTTAACTCTCTGACAAGTCGCATCACGACCAGAATGGCCTCCACTTCCTGAACAATGCAGCCACTTAAGAATATCATTCTGAAGATCCTTATCTTGAGGAACCACAATCTTTCTCTTTCTCCTCAATACTCCGTGAACCCAAGAAAAGTTCTTCTTAGCATTAGAATCCTGCCTCAACTGATCAATTAATGTCTTAAGAGCAAGATCTGTAGCATAACCTGCTTGAATACGTTGCATAAGATCACAGTCTAAAACAGACATTGCCATATGTAACACTTCAGCACCCTCCACCCGTGATAAAGCATCCGCAGCCACATTGTCTTTACCCTGTTTATACTGAATTTCATAGTCAAATTCTAAAAGCTTGGGCAACCATTGTTGTTGAATTGGTGTGTTCAGGCGCTGCTCCAACAAATATTTAAGGCTCCGCTGATCTGTTTTTATAACAAAATGATTTGGTAATAGATAGTGGCGCCATTTCTGAACCGCAAACACTACCGCAAGCAATTCCTTTTCATATATAGAAAGATGCAATTGTTTTCCCCTCAAGTGTCTGCTAATATAGGCCAAAGGGTGACCTTCTTGCATCAATACCGCACCAATCCCCTCTCCACAAGCATCAGTCTCCACTACAAAAGGTTTATCAAATCGTGGTAGAGCTAATACCGGTGCTTCACACAAAACAGATTTCAGTGTATTGAAAGCTTGCAATGCTTCCTCAGACCAAACAAAAGACTCCTTCTTCGTCATGTCATGTAGTGGTCTAGCAATTACACCAAAACCCTTCACAAATTTCCTGTAATACCCAGCTAGACCCAAAAAACCTCTCAGCTGTTTTAAAGTCTTAGGTATGGGCCAAGCTTTGACTGCCAATATTTTCTGTGGATCTGTAGAGACTCCACTAGCTTCAATGAAGTGCCCCAAATACTCTACCTTGGCCACAGCAAAAGCACACTTACTCTTCTTTGCCTAGAGACTGTTACTCCTCATCAACTTGAACACCTCTCTTAAATGCAACAAATGAGATTCCAGAGTAGGACTGTAAATGAGAATGTCATCGAAGAATATTAAGACAAACTTCCTCAAAAACTCCTGAAACACCGTATTCATCAAACTTTGGAACGTAGCTGGCGCGTTAGTTAGCCCAAAAGGCATCACCAAATATTCATAATGCCCACTATGAGTTTTAAAGGCAGTTTTATACATGTCTGCAGGCTCCATTCTAACTTGATGATATCCAGCTCTCAAATCAATCTTAGAATAGATCATAGAACCTCCCAACTCATCCATCAAATCATCTATTAAGGGAATATGAAATCGATCTTTAACAGTCATCCCATTCAACCCTCTATAGTCCACACATAAACGCCAACTACCATCCTTCTTCTTGACTAATACTACATGAGATGCATAAGGACTACTACTAGCTTGTATAGTACCAGCCTTAAGTAATTCCTGAACCATCTTATCAATCTCAGTTTTCTGATGTAATGCATACCTGTAGGGACGCTGGTTAATCGGGTTTGATCCTTCCAATAAAGGGATTTTATGGTTGTGGTTAGCTCTGAATGGGGGTAAAGCCTTTGGTTCCTCAAAAATATCAGCATACTCATTCACTAGTTGTGTGATCTTTGGATTTTCCTCTTCTTCTCCACTGTGAGTTTCCAAAGAACAGAGCATCATATCATTCTCCTCCGGTATATTTTGCACACACAACATAGAAATCTGCACTTCACTCTCCTTCAGCTTCTTGAGTTTGTTTGCCTTCACTTCTCTTATTGAACCCTGCTTCAGCCCATGTAGTAAAACTGTTTTTAAACCCCATTTAAAACTCATCTCCAGTTTCTGAAAGTCCCAATTAATAGGGCCCAAAGAAGCTAACCACTGCACCCCTAATACCATGTCACAGCCTGCGAGAGGAATAACCATCACATCTCCTTCAAAAGTGGTCTCCTTAAGCGTCCATTTAAAATCCTTGACCTTGCCAGTCACTCCTAACTGACGACCATCAGCCACCTTTACTCTTGTTAAACCAGAATGTTGTAATGGAAGTTATAATCTAGCTACTGTGGGATCAAGAAAATTGTGTGTAGACCCCGAATCCAATAGAAACATCAATGGTTGTTTTCCCACAACACCTCTGACTTTCATAGTCCAATACTCTGAGATACCAGAAACTGCACTAACAGACACCTGTGCATGCTCTTGATTGAGCTCAGACTCTCCTTCATCTGCACTATGATAATCCACAGTATCATCATCACCTTCCTCGACATCCATCATATATAACTGCTTCCTTTTATGAGTAAGATAATGCTCCGGTGTATATTTTTCATCACAGAAGTAACAAAGGCCTTGAGACCTTCTTTTATTCATCTCTTCTGTAGATAAAAATTTTCGTGGCTGTGTCCCCATCTCCCTTGATTTAGAGGCAACATCTTGCTGTACAGGTTTGTGTACCCAATCAGGTTTGGATCCCAGCACTCCCTTTGCTTGAAAACCATTGCTACCACTCCATCTAGAACTTTGGTTAACAAGGGATGCTGCTCCTAATCCTTTTTTCTGATGAGCTTGCTCATACAACCTTCCAAGCATCAAACACTTGCTAATAGAATCAGGCTGAAACATGCGAATATGCATTTGCGTATCTGTTTTTAAACCTGCAAGATAAGCTCTCACCAAATACTCCTCAGGTAACTTCAATCACAAACGGATCACTTCAAATTT